CACCGGCCTGAGAACGGCGGTCAGCTTCAGAAAGGTGACCATTGGCGGCAGTCGGGATATGACGGTCGGCGGCGGACAGAGCCTCGCCATTAGCGATGCTGCCTCCATAGCCGGAATCGTTGTCGAGGAGGTTTTGGAGTTGGGCGGCGTGAACAGAAGTGGAGCCAGAGCCTACAGTCATGTAGTGATGTCTGCCAGATGACGGATGCTGCGGCGTGCTGTCGGAATCGTCTCTGTCGACCTCTTGGTCCATCGGGGCCTTGCCCTTCTTCGAGAAATAATCTTGGCTCATTTTCGGTCGGTTGAGGGTGGTAAGAGCATGGTCGAGGGCGTGGTGTATGTGAGGGGTGGAAAGGGTCGAGTATGTGTGGAAAGTGGCGGTGGAAGTTTTACCACCCGCGAATTGTTTTTAGGGAAGCTCGTCACCAACGAAGAATTCCCAGCGCATGATTTTGGGCGGAGCGGCAAATTTCCTCCACCCTGTTGGTCGCGGCGCACCACCCATTGGCTCGAGTTCTTGTTCCGTCCCGTCACGTCCAGTCAGTCGAGCCACCCGGGAAAATACCGCGGCCGACAAAAAAAGCCTTATCTAATCAACGGGCTCTCCAGAACGCGGGCACCTGTGTGGCGCCCTTGGACTGGCTGGGCGCCTGTCACAGCGTAATCGCCCATGTTTCTTGGAATCCCTGGAAGGCTGGCACATGGGCTCGCCTACGTTACGCCGTGCCAAGCTATTGTACGTACCTGCCTGACCTGCCTCTGACTTGACCTCGTTCCGTTGCCCGTTACGTGAGTGCCTCCCAGGCAACCTGAATCTCTATCAACTTTCCCGACGACAACCTCCAAACGAAACAAGCGACCGATCCATCGTCTATCGGACGGCTGCGTAGGTGCACCTTCGACACAATTACTCTTCGTTTGGCTGAAACGGTCCCAAACCTCCACCATGAACGTACGTCGTGTGCCTCTTCCCCGCCACGGCCCAGGTGCTAATCTTGCGACAACAGATTCTGGAGTACATGTTCGGCAAGCGCATGACGCCCGCGGAGCGTCTGCGCAAGAACCAACGCATGTTGGACAAGGCTATCCGCGAGCTGGACCAGATTCGAGTCAAGCTTGAGAAGCAAGAAAAGCAGTTGATCACCCAGATCAAGCAAAGCGCTCAGAAGGGACAGATGGGTGCTTGCAAGATCCAGGCGAAGGATCTTGTCCGCACAAGGAGGTCGGTTACGCATCAACTTGACAATTGACAAGAGTGCTGATGGATGTTATCAACAGGTACATCGAGAAGTTCTATGGAATGCGCAGCCAGCTGCAAAAGATCTCGCTTAGGCTGCAGGTACGATACCCAGATGGGCTTCCCAGGACGATTGACTGACTGTAAACTCGCGACAGACCTATCGCACCAACGAGCAGATGATGCAAGCCATGAAGGGCGCAACCGTGGCCTTGGGCAGCATGAACCGATCGATGAACCTCCCCGCCCTCCAGCGCATCGCCATGGAATTCGAGCGCGAGAACGACATTATGGACCAAAGACAGGAGATGATGGACGACGCCATTGATGATGCCATGGACGTCGGCGCCGAGGAGGAGGGCGAGGAGGTTGTGGAGCAAGTTCTGGAAGAGATCGGGGTTGACTTGACATCAGCGGTAAGCATGGATGCCGACTTCGGGACGGACTATGGTAGGCTAACAACGGCCCTTGCAGCTCGGCGAAACACCGTCCGGGATGCAAACCGCGGCGGTGCCGGAGAGCAGGATTGCTCAAGCAGTCGGCGGAGGAGGTGGAGGTGCGGATCCCGGCGACGACGACCTCCAGGCCCGTCTCGACAGCCTCAGGCGGTAGCCATAGTAACAATCAATGAAGCGGTCACGATGTTTTGCGGACAGCAACGACGGATGATGAGGGATCCTGGGCAGCTAGTTTGTTTTGTCACATACGGTACGGAGTCCCTAGGATAAGGGGAGGCGCACTTATTTTCTTTTCCATTAAGCGGCGTCTCTTTTTCCATGCAGCAACCATGAAATTGTGTCGGTGGGCATGCTCTGCGCTGGCATTCGGCAGGTTGCATCGGAACATTGCGTCATTTGTCCACAGCAATTCAGGTGCCCCGCCAAGATGACTGCGTTTCCCACGAATACCTGCCATCGGGGCGAGTAAACCGAGCTGCTGCTTTGGGGGTTAGACCACAGCATGCAGTTCTGCCTGGGGTGGACATGCGTTGCCACCGCACTCACTACCTACTATTTTGAAGTAGATCTGCCATAATCGAAGATACTTTGTCATCGTGCCTCCTCTCCGTGATGTGTGACACTTGAGCCATCCACGCTGAAAGTTTATGCCGGGGACCTCAAGAGCACCCGGTGGCAGCTGGATGCCACGACAATAAACAAATCCCAAGTGGACACCAAGCCAGATGGTCCAGGCACACATGATGAACAGACAACAGACACGATTTGCAGAATGCCATGTCGGCAGGATTCCCCCGAGTCAGCATGACGCTGTCGCTTTCGCAAATGTGGGCCTGGCTTCTTTTGTCGGATCTCTCAGCCCAGCCCAACCCAGCGAACCGGACCCCAACTTGGACCCCGAATTCTCGGGCAGGTTGTTTGCTGGCGTCCGTGAGGGTAAAAATGGCAAGAATATCAACAACAGGGCAAGGTAGGGTAGGGTACCTGCCTAACGTACCTGAACCTTCCCCGCTCCTGTCCAGGGTTCCGAAGCTGAGCTGTCATGCCAACACTGCCGTGGGAGCTGAGTAAAGACGTCCAGCAGACGACGCGAAAAGCGATGTGCTGAAGAGCGTATGCGGTGTCATGGGAATAGCCTCCACTGCAGCCGTCCCTTGCCTTAGTAACCGACGCTGTGGGCGGCTGTTGGGTAAACATGCTAATTTAGTTTTCCTTTGACCCAAAACTCAACACCACTCTGTCAGCCTAGAGACAGCGAAGGCCCAAGCTGCTTGGCAACCCAATCTAAGCTTCACAAGAGGGGCCTCATCGTGGCCTTAGCAGCAATGGATGAAAGCGACGGGTTCGTGGGAGCAGGCAAGGAAATCCGGTTCGGCGTAGGAAGGTGCTTTGAGTCTCTTACACGGCATGATCCCGACTGACGGGCGGTGCTAGAAGGGGAAAGCGAGTTGGAGGTGTTCTTGAACGGTTCATGCAATGTGAGAAACCCATCCATGCGTTCGTCGTAGAATACCTAGGTTCGCCGACTTTTCATCCTCAAGCTCTTTGGCGGGTTCATGATGGGCAACAACAAAAAGAAGCGTTGGGTAGCGGCCGGTAGCCTCCATCGTGAGAAAGAAAGAGATCGGGCCCGGGACTCTGGGGCTGGTGATCGGCATAGGAAAGGCCCAGTTCGACTAGCAGGTTTGCAGCATTGGGTCTCAGAGTGAGGTCACTCGGCCATCTCGCGCTTCCCTTCCAGACCCGTCAGGGCAGGTCCAGTCCACGGGTGGTCTTCCACTGGTTACCTCAGCAAAAAGAAGGAAAGACGCGAGCAGAAGAAAGGGCGGACGGGCTAGTGTGGTTTCTCTTAATCCATCTCATCCCATCCTTTCCCTCTCCAAGGTTCCCTTCCTCGTCCCGGGAGTCCCAAACCGCGTACCGGACATCAGACACTCCACGACAGTTTAAACGCCCCCGTGTGCCCGTACGTTTCTTGGCCGAGATTCAGATCCCGCCCGCCTAAGCCCCTTCGTTTGGGTCGAACCCACGACAGAGCGTAAAGGTATCTCAGCAGCGCATTGCAGAAACACCTTTGACCCCGACAACGACCCAGCAGGCGGTCCAGCAATCCAGGTGTTAAGTCGCAGGGATTGGAAGGGCCCCTCCCCGTAACGGAGTCAAGGTAAGCGCCGCTAATAAAGCGACCCTGCGAATCGTGGTTCCCGCCTTTCTCTTTCTCAGGTGGACGTCCACGACCACACCTGCGTAAGGTGGTAAGGTACCTAGGTACGGATATTCGTACCTTACCCGGTCCACGTCGCTCTTCCTGGCCCTTTCCCCTCCAACCAAACATCCCCTCCCCCTCCTCTGCCACTGCTGCCCACTGCGGAGAGCCACAGCGTAACGCAGCGCCCGCCCAAGTCCAGCCCAGCCCAGCGCCGCAACATTCGCATCCGCATCTGCTGCCTCACCACAACCTTGTCCCCGAACTTCCCTTCACCTCATCTCACTTCAAACCTGACCAACCCGCTCTTCTCCCAGACGACATCGCAGCCTTTGCCATCCCGCTGGCAAACTGCGCCTCCAGATCTCCCCCGAGCCGTCTCTTTCTCGCTCTTCTACCACCTACCAACGACGTCCTCCCGCTCTTCCGTCTCGGTGGGTACGTCACTTTTGTGAGTACTGGTGCTTCCCATCTTGATCCCCCCCTTCCGAATATCAATGAGCCTACGTCACCTATCAACCCTGGAGCACCATCTATACACAGAGACATCACGCTCCTGACATTGGCATTCTGCATGTTCCCGCCTCTCTATCCCGCATCGTCCTTTTGCGCGCACTCTTCAAGAAGCCTTTCGCAGCCCTACCCCGTCCCATCTTCTGTCTTGATATCCCACTCCATTGCGGCCAGCCGGCGCTTGTGTGGCGATATCGCTTTGCTGCTTAAAGATCTAGCTTCTCTACATTGCTCTTCCCTTGCTTCTCCTACCCGACGCTTCATCTGCATCTAGCTCGGACCCGACTTACTTCCTAGCTCCCGGTCGGCCTCGGACCACTTTGCCCCTCCATGAATCCGACGAACATTGCTTGCTCACAACTCTAAAGCTAACACCGTCTGTCCCTCTCGCAGATATCCTGGCCTCGCGACGCTTTTCCCGGCGACAATATACACCGACGACGAACGTACAAACTCCCTGCCATCCTATCGTACTCAACTGATCGCGCGCCCGGGACGGTACCCTTGAATCCTTTTAAGGCTTTTTAAACTGGCAGGAAGCAAGCGTCGCAGCCTCTCCAACCAGGGGAGTGGTCTGCTGACTAGAATGTTCGGCGGCGGCTCAAGTTCAGCGCCCAAGGCGGAGAGCGACTCCAAGGAAGATCGCAAGTCGCCCTCGCCCGACTCCGAGAAGGCTCAGCCCAAGGCTACCGATCAGGTCGTTAGCGGAGACAAGAGGAGTGGCAACAGCAGTCCCCCGGGACGTCAGACCGATGGAGCCGCCGATAAGAAACGCCGGGCTAGCGGCGTCTCGAGCAAGGCTGCCGGCCTGCTGGCTCACGCAAAGAACACATTGAATTTCTCTCAGGTTGGCCGATCCAACTCGGATGTGAGCGCGCAGACTCCTTTGCAGAAGCTGGGCAAGCAGGACCCCGCACTCGTCGTGCCCCAGGGTCAGCACAACAACTCGGCCGGAGAGTCTATTCCCGGACCGCGTTCCACCTTCCGTGTCGGCGTCTGGGAAGATAGGAACAAGAAGTGCCGCCGGACGATGGAGGATACCCACGCTTTCCTGTACAACTTCCTCTACACCCCGGCTCCTGTCCTCGACAGTAAAAGAGTGATGCTGCCGATGACAAGGATGCTTCTCAGGACATGGTCGAGACGGACAACGGATACTTTGCCATCTTTGATGGTCACGCGGGAACTTTTGCGGCAGACTGGTGTGGAAAGAAGTTGCACATCATCTTGGAGGACACCATCCGGAAGAACCCCAACGGCCCCATTCCAGAGCTACTCGACCAAACCTTCACTTCAGTCGATGCGCAGTTGGAAAAGCTCCCTCTTAAGAACAGTGGATGCACCGCTGCTGTCGCTGTGTTGCGTTGGGAGGACAGAGTACCAAGTGATCGATCTGCGACTGGTTCTCAGGCCATTGCGCCGGCCACCGCAGCGGCCACCAAGGCTGTCAAGTCAAACTCAGAGGAGCCCACCGGCGATAAGGCCGCCTCTGCGAACAGCCCGGAGGCTGCACACGCCAAGTTGAAGAGCTCGGCTAGCCGCCAGCGCGTTCTTTACACGGCCAACGTCGGAGACGCACGCATCATCCTCTGCCGCTCTGGCAAAGCCTTGCGTTTGTCATACGATCACAAGGGTAGTGATGAGAATGAGGGTAAACGTATAGCTAACGCTGGCGGTCTGATACTCAACAACCGCGTCAATGGCGTGCTGGCTGTCACGAGAGCCCTTGGCGATACCTATATGAAGGATCTTGTCACCGGGCACCCGTACACAACCGAGACCGTTATTCAGCCTGAGAGTGACGAGTTTATCATTATAGCATGTGATGGAGTAAGTTCCTCCTTGACGCCATGCTTTCTGGGCATTACTGACGCACCAATAGCTTTGGGATGTTTGCTCTGACCAAGAAGCGGTTGATCTCGTTCGCAATATAGAGGACCCGGTTGAGGCTTCGAAGCTTCTGGTCGACCATGCGTTGAATCGTTTTAGTACCGATAATTTGTCTTGTATGATTGTACGTTTGGACAAGGCTGCGCTGTTAGAGAGCCAAAACGACAAGGAAAGCTCCATTGGCGTGGAGCGACCTCCGACGACTGCGGCCAAGGTCAGCGAGGCTGAGAAGATCGTTTCAGAGACGAAGAAAAAGATTGCGGACGGTGGAACGCCTGCTATTGGCGTGTCGGCGAGCAACAGTGGACGCGGACATGACCCGGCGTCCATTGACAATGGGGACTTCAAGCCCACGACGTTAGATGGGACGCTCGAGGAAGAGCCCGGACCCATTGAAGAAAAAACTGAGTCTCCGGAGATCGCCCGCGATGCTCCTCCTGCACCTTTACCTACGGAGGTGGAGCAGACTGACACGGCCGCCAAGGCGAAGAAGGCCTAGGTACGGTGACGCAGTTGATAATAAGCTTGGCTACTTCAACTGTCTCAAAGTGAGCGACTTGCGATTGTGTCGATGGCTCATACACGGGGCGGCATTGCAAGATGTCTCTAGGCAGAGGTTATCAGGAGTTCAGAAACAGGGGTTAGCAAGCATAAGGCAATGAGCCGGCCCGATGGGGAAGGGTGCTTATTGTAGGTTATCTGTACATCTAGCTATTAAATGGCTTTACCTGCGATCTTGGTGCTTGTTGTGAGCCCTCCCCGTGTTAATTGCACCGACGTCTCATTGTCAGCTAAGGACCACAACCATCGTACTCTGTCTCGTCTTTAAACATTGTCATGGCCTGTCGGAGGCTAACATGTCTTGTCCAGCAGAGCTGAGCTGTCGCTACAATGACATGATGCAATTGCATATTCCAGAAGTAAATCAGCAAGGTCATCCGAAAAGTTAGTGGCCAGCCATGATCTATTATATACATCCCAGAGTGAGGACGTCAATGTGTCGTCACCAGAGTCTCCTTTGGCGCCGAGAGACAAGCTGGCGTTCCGAAAGCAAACCACGGGGCAGATAAAACGGCTTGCCGGTACCTGCATAGAGTTTCATTCGCCCCGTAATCAGCTCGAGTGTAGAGATGAAGGGCAGAATATTCGTCTTTCTTTGGGGCCATGTCGGTCACTATCTTGGCAATATCCCAAGTCCCATGTGTCATTGCCCAGATCTCCGAGACGGGGGTTCGATTTGGGACGAGCTAGGCATGTTCAGATCTGTAACGACTTGTCGGCACTAAGAGGACTGGCAGGTAAAGGAAAAGGCAGCATCCAAAGCTCGGATCTCGTTTGGACGGTGAACGTGACCAGCTGCGCCCAGTGGTCAACGTGACCTCGAGCTGCCGCAGGTGGCGGCGCGGGGTGAAGCTTGGGCGGGTTGACAACACAGCAGAAGCTCGCACTGGTGCGATGCAGGGATGGCGGCCAGAGCACCCGGAGCATCCAGAGCGAACAGGAGGATGGGCGCAACTTGAAGGGATTGGGGGGTTTGAGTTTCTCAGGTGCCTCAAGAGGACGGAATTTATGTTGGGAGTGCAGGTGATTCGTAATTGTACATACAGCAACAGGTAGGAGGAGGTATGCCATCTGTACGCTGGGTGTACTGATTGCCGGTTGGCCCGGGCTCCCCTGGGCTTCTCCAAATCCCCAGGATTTCTCTCCAGGTTTGTTACTCCAGGTTCTCCGATCTGGGGCGGGGCGGGCGGCGGATGGCTGGGCAAGTTTGCTTTACCTTACCTGGCCTTTGCTCTGCGCATGGCAAGTGATTCAGGTGACCTCACCTTTGCCTTACCTTACACCGAGGGGGCCGAGACGAGAAGGGCTGGAGTCTGGAATCCGACCTACCTCTTTGGCGCGGCGCCGGGCGGCGTGTTACGGTGCTGCTGGGGTTGGTCCTTGAGGCGGGGGAAACGGGCGCCAGCCAGGCAAGATCGGGAAGGCAGGAATACGATGCCGCACATAAGGGCCCGGGTACTTTGGGGAACCTTTTACATAACGCGTCGTCTAGACAGTAAGCCATTATGTATTGAATTGAACGTTAGAGGCTGTTGCGTGTCTCGTGTGTTCCCCAGCTGCTGTGGCCGATGCATCATCAACCCCCGGGGCTATGAGCCAAGCCGTTTGTATCTGGTGATGCGAATCTCTCTTCCTACATCTCAATTGCATCGTAATCTGGTCGATTGCGCCTTTGATTTCTCCCGTGGTCTTTTGCCCGTTTGTTGTTACACCATTTCTGCCATTTATTGTCAATCCTTGAATTGGGCACCCTCAGCACCCGCCAATCAGAGCGCAGCAAACGTTACTTATTCCGCCTTCGTTGACGACGGCCGTTATCTTTTCGATACCGTGTTGTCTTACCCTGAATCAACCCCCAAGCAATAAGTCGTCCACGGAGTCAGCAGCAAGCTGAGCAAACATCCCGGGGGATTCTCTGGGGGCTCTCCAGTCCAACAAACCCTCAATCATTGCTGTCGATACGGGATCGTGTCCCAGCAGTGCGTGAGGTGCAGCGCACGAGTACCCATACGCCCCGTGTTTGGGAAACCGTCTCCGCGAATACCAGACGAGGGATCGCAGCTTACCACCTCTCGGTGTCGAGAGTCTGTGGTGTCCCCGTCTCCCGTCGGTGTCGGTGTTTAAGGTAAGGCAGAGGGTCTGACGGTACGTACCGGCTGCCTTATCAGGTAGGTTAGCAATCAACGCCGAGAATTCCACCTGCCCAGCTTATTTTAGCTGGAGGGAGAGCTTCAAGGTACCTTCTTTTCCAGTACGAAGACCGGGCCTGCAAAGTACCCTACATCTGTACGTACTTTCCACCTTGCCAACCCCGCACCCACTTTCTGAGAGCTAAGGCAAAGCACCAGTCACAGGCCGACGTTGAGGTCGCAGAGGTCCCACCTCCCAGCCAAAGGTTGCCGACAAAACCCAGGGCCCGCCGTTTTTTTGCGGCTTCCCACCCCAAGCCGCTTCAGTGTTTATTCCCCCCTCCATAATCCCGTTGCAAACCGACCGAGTCAATCCTCAAGCAGACAATCCAGTCGTGCCATCGACCCACGAGTGCAGCACCGCTGTTCGGCCCATCATGGCCCAATACCCAGCCCAGACAGCATCCAGCCTGAGCCCGACTGTATCTTCTGCTCCTTCAACAAACGCCGCCGCTGCTGCCCCTTCTGCGCCGACAGCAACCGCTGCCTCCCAGCCTGCTGCACCCCAGCACAAACGCGTTTACCAGGCCTGTATCCCGTGTCGCCGTAGAAAGGTCCGTTGCGACTTGGGAAGCGTCGACAACCCCCACGATCCGCCCTGCGTGCGATGCCGACGCGAGAGCAAAGAATGCTACTTCAGCGCGACCCGACGAAAGCGCAAGACGGAAGACGGTGCCGACGAACCTGAAGACATTGACGAATACACCATCCGCAATGGCCGTAAGCGTCTCCACGTCGAAGACAGTCCCCCCGTCGCCATCGACCGCCGACTCTACAGCGAGGTCCCCTTGACCCCCGGCGGTTCCATCGGCCGAAACCAACCCCTCCGTCGACCGACCGACCCCGGCATCCCCTCCGGTTCGCGCGGCGCTGTCACCCCGAGCACCGTCAGCCAGGCCGATAGCACGCGCCGCGCAGAGTTTGGCACCTTCGAGGACGAGCCCAACGCCCATCTCGAGAACGCGGAGGCCCAGGACCTCATGCGCCCCGGCGTATACGGACCCCACGATGCTTTGGATCTGCTGTATAAGGCGGCCACGGATAGGTCAGTCCAGCTCCGCCAGTCCCAAGACGCGGCTGCTTACCCTCTCCCGGCTCACAGCCCTGTGACGAACCACAAGCGCCACGAGAGTGTCGCATCCATACCGGCCCTGCCTCCGCAGCCCATGATTGTGACCCCGGGCGCGACCATGAAACCTGCGAGCGCCGGCCGTCCCTCGGTGTCGACCAAGCCGGAGCCACCAATCATCGATCCCGAGCTGACGAAGCGGGATCTCTCTGGGGAACCTGGATACCAAGATGCCATCAAGGCTTGGGGAAGGTTCAGATTCGTCAGGGCTGGCTGGTTCTCTGCGCAGGAGGCCATTGACTACATCGACTAGTAAGTCCCCATGTGGCCTGAAATGTGACACAACTGACCACAGCAGCTATTACGAATATCTTTCCCCGCTGACACCCATCTCGCCGCCGACATTCCGAAACCCTGCGTCGCATCTTACTCTTCTCACGGAGGAGCCGATTCTCACAATCACCCTGCTTACCATTTCGTCGAGATATCGAAAGATCCCGGGAACTGGTGGACATTGCCGGTCTCATGCAATCCATGAACAGCTCTGGACCTATCTGCGAGGGATGATTGAGAGATGTCTTTGGGGCCAGGAGGCTTTCGGCGGTGGATTTACGGCGGCGATGGCTGGAGCTTCATCCGTCATAGAGGATCAAACCAGCAGCACGGCTCCTTGGCGTGGAATGAGGAAGGGAAGTCTGCGGACGCTAGGAACTGTCGAGTCTCTCATGATCTTGACGGAGTGGCACCCCCGCGCGCTCCACTTTCCTCCTGCCGAGGCCATTGACGAGCTCATGCTCCCGTCATATGAGGGTAGTGATTTGATCAGCACCGATGAGAACGGAAACCAGCGGCCTTCGGCCAACATTGGCGGCCGGAGACTTGACAGCTGGCTCGAACCTGCGTGGAGGAGCGACAGAATGTGCTGGATGCTTCTCAGCACCGCGATGGGTCTCGCATATGAGCTCGGAGTGTTTGACGACATTGATGAGCTGCTTCGTGACGGCGCAATCACCCGCCCTGAGTATGAGGAGGAAACCTACAGGCAGCGCGCAAACCGTATTAAGCGGCTGTTGTTGATCTACTTGACTCAATTGGCCGGCCGCCTCGGCTGGACGAGCATGGTTCCAGAGGTCCTCCGCAAGAGCGATCCCGCCGTGACCCGTCGACGGCCGACATCGACTGAAGGCACAACACCCGGTACCAACCCGTCCTCCCTGTCCAATGCCTTCAACTACATTCCGGACCTGGAGCTTGACGATCAGATCATCCACTGCTGGGCCGGTATCAGCAATGCCATGCACATCGGCAATGAAAAGTTCTTCAGGTCACGAAAACACACGACCGACATCATCCAGAGCGGCAAGTATACTGAGCTTCTGAAGGATTTCCAACCTCTCCTGCAAGATTGGTGGAAGGAGTTTGAGCGGTACAGGCTGCCGCCGTACATCAGACACATCCTGACTATCGAGTACGAGTATGTACGCATCTATGTCAACTCGCTATCTTTGCAGGCAGTCGTTGAGCGGTGCACCAATAATGCTGGAAATACTGCGCACGCCGGACACGGCGCGCACGGCAATCATAACGCAGGGAGCGCCGCGCAACTCTCGCCTCAGACTCAGAACTACTTTGGAAAGCTGCCTCTGGGCCAGTTGGGTGGCTTTGGTGCGACTGACCAGG